CCTTTGTAGGCCTTTCTTTTTAGCCTCAGGAGATCTGCTAGGTCCCTGGAGAGCCAGGGGGGCTGCTGTGCCCTCTTGCTGCCTTTCCTCCAAGATGGAATAGACTTAGTTTGTGCATTGAGGATTGCTCCCTTGAGGAGCAACCACTCTTCTTGAACTCCCCTCTCCCCATAGTCATGGTCCCTTAGGGCCTCACTGACAAGCCTCCTGAGCTTGTCAAAGTTGGCTTTCCTGAAGTCAAGGACTTCCGTGTTGCTGACTGACTTGCCAGCTTTTCAGCGGATGGTGAAGGTGATCAGCTTGTGGTCGCTGTCACCCAGCTTTCCATCGATCAGTAGGTCGCCGACTAGGTCATCCCCAGTAGCCAGTACCAGGTCGAGCAGCGCTTTGCCTCTCGTTGGCCCATAGACTTCTTGAGTCAGGTAGAGGTCATCCACGCACAAGAGGAAGCTTTGCGACCACTCAGATTTGCTGAGTGATCCTCCTGTTCTAGAATGAAATCTAATATCTGTACATAACATTGCTAGTAACATCATGAGGGTATGGGCAACCAGGGCACCAGCTCTGAACACACCCACATAGAGGCGGAGCAAGAACAGCTGTCACCACCACTGCTGGTCCAGTTGCCACCACCCCTGTGGCCCAGAGTGTAGAACCTGGTAGTTGTACCTCCAAGCACTGCAGTGTGCAGTGTAGACATACAAACTTGTTTGGAGTTAGTATGGGTTGCTACACAGAGCTCTGTATTGCCAGAAACTGGTTAGCTGAGGAAGCTATTTTCTAGCACTTTCTTTTGGTATAAGCCAAAAACTTGATGATGAACACAGCTAATACCTTCAATAAAAGTAGCCTCTGGCTGAGACTTATTCTAGGGCTATATAGACCTGAACTAAAGACACAGGATACGCTGAGGTCATTTACAGTGTGAATTTCTGGCATATCAGGTACTCCATGGTACCTACTTGTTCACATGCTACTACAATACAATAAATGCAAGGTGGCTTGCCTTCTTTCATGGCTTGAAGAAGCCTGACTATGAGTCCTTTGTCTTCAAGGTTGTGTAAGATGCATCCCTTGCTCCTGCCAGCCTTCCTGCAAGTGAGTAAGAGTTTATGTGGTGCTTATAAAGGAAGTAGAGTGCTTAAATGTAATATAGTTTTATGTATCCAGAAGTTAACATCCAGGAATCAAGGGTCACAGTCTTGATTTAGTAGAGTAATTTCAGTGTTCTTTATCTTTCCTTCATGTAGACGAGTAGGAGAGTCTGACTACAGTGATGGAGAAGAAGATTTTTATTATACAGAGATCAGACTTAACACAGATTCAGTGGCTGATGGCTTAAGCAGTCTTTCTCCAGTCTCTCCATCTCTAGCATCTCCTCCTTCTTTTCCAACCCAAGATGTAAGCCGTCCTGAAACATCATGTGCCAAAACTGAGACTAAAGTGATGACACCTCTGAGCCGCTCAGCTCCTACCAATCTCTACCTCGTACACACGGACCATGCTTACCAGGTAAAATGGTGACAATGATCACACCTCTGCCCAAGTTTAACAAACAGAGTGTCTTTAGACAAAGTGGGATAATTTTTCTTCCTTTTTTTTGTAAAAGACACAGTGGGGCAGACTGTTACTGTCTGTTCTACAATGGATTTTTCTGCAAGATGATTCCCAAGGACTGCCAGAAGCCATTTCATTTTTTATTTATCTATTGTGGTATAGAGAGCTCTGTATATGTGGGATAAGACAGAAAAAATAGAGGAGAATATAATCTCCTTTACTCTTAGTAGTAATTCTTTACAGATGGCAAAGATCCAATCAGATTCCAGATGCTGGTAAGAGAGCTTCTTACTTAATTCAAATACTATGCATTAATTGTTGAAATAAAGTAACATTTAAAAAAAAAATTATGAACATTTGAAAACTTGATTTTGACATGCTTTGATCCGCTGAAAGCTATATAATTTATAAGGAAAATAGAAGTTTTGTAGTAGTGTGGTCTGTGAAGTGCTTATGGACACAATAAGTGAACGCTTGTTAAATTTATTAAACCTCAAAATGTTCCTATATTGTATTTTCAAGCATACTTAACATCACAACATGCTTAATGAAAAAGAATACACAAAGACAAAGGTAGTATATGAAGTTATATTTATTGTCAACAGGTTTAGAATTTTTAGAAACCTGGTATTTTCCGTGAAAAGCAACATTTATGATTATTAACTAGATTATTATGCAGTGTGTCCTGCCATGTACCCCCTGCTTCACATTTGTTTTTCTGTCATGCTGGCAGTCTGGCACTTTACAACGTAGATGTAGCAGTGTTTTCAGCACTCCAGCCAAAAACATTGCATACCCCTGCAATAGAATATTATAGAGTGACTCTCTTTAAATATCTTTGTGAAGCTGTTTCAGCTTGTATAAAACATATTGATACATTTGGCCTAGAACAGTGGTTTTCAACCTTTTTTCATTCGCAGACCACTAAAAAATTTCAAATGGAGGTGTGGACCCCTTGGGAAATACGTTTTGTGCATAGCGAACATAAATAGATAATTACTGACAAACTGTTGTGTTAAAAATAAAAATAATATCAACAACAGCAATAGCAATAATACAATTTTGTGAACTCACCATCTTGTCATCAGTTTTAATCAGATGGTTGATCTTGCTTCTTGCCAGAAAGTACGTGAAAGTTTGGTAAGATAGGTAACAGTTTCAGTCTTGGATCTCCCCAACATCCAGTTTGTTTCAGTATTTTGTTTTAATTGATACTAAAGCTGAAAACCCACTTTCACATAAATACGTGGTGGTGAATGGCATCAAGACTTTAATGGCCTTGTCTGTCAGATCAGGATACTCCTTTTTTATTTTCAACCAGAAATGGGCAAGAGGTTCCTTCTTAAATTCAAGTTTCAGTCCCGTGTCACAGGATAGTTCAAGTAACTGCTCTTCTTCTTTAGCTGTTAGACAGGCAGTTTTCTATCTACCTTACAGTCCATTCATCCAGCCCATACTTGCCTCAGAGAATATTGTGAGAGACTGTATCAAAGCCTTGCTAAAATCAAGGTACACCTCATCCACCAATCTCCCCACATCCACAGAGCCAGTCACCTCGTCATAGAAGGCAATCAGATAGTCAGGGATGAATTGCCCCTGTTGAATCCATGCTGACTGTTCCTAATCACCTTTTTCTCCTCCAAGTGCTTAGAAATGGATTCCTTGAGGATCTGCTCCATGCTTTTTCCAGAGACTGAGGTGAGGCTAACTGGTCTCTAGTTTCCTGGAACCTCCTTTTTCCCTTTCTTAAATAGGGGAACTATATGTTTGCCCTTTTCCAATCATCTGGGACCTCTCCTGATTGCTAGGAGTTTTCAAAGATGATGGCCAGTGACTCTGCAATCATATTAGCCAACTCCTTCAGCACCCTCAGGTGCATCCCATCCAGTCCCATGGACTTGTACACATCTAGCTTTTCTATATAGTCCCTCATCTGTTCTTTTACCACTGAGGGCTGCTCACCTCCTCCCCAAACTGTGCTGCCCGGTGCATTAGTCTGGGAGCTGACCTCATCTGTGAAGAATGAGGCAAAAAAGGCATTGAGTACTTCAGCCTTTTCTGCATCCTCTGTCACAAGGTTGCCTCCCCCATTCAGTAAGGGACCCACACTTTCCCTGATCATCCTCTTGCTACCGACATGGTACTAGTGCTGCTTGACCTGGTACTGGCTACTGGGGATGACCTAATCGGTGACCTAGTGATTGATGGAAAGCTGGGTGACAGCGACCACAAGCTGATCACCTTCACCATGCGCCGTAAAGCTGGCAAGTCAGTCAGCACACTGAAGTCCTTGACTTCAGGAAAGCCAACTTTGACAAGCTCAGGAGGCTTGTCAGTGAGGCCCTAAGTGAGGGCCACGACCCCAGGGGGAAGGGAGTTCAGGAAGAGTGGTTGCTCCTCAAGGGAGCGATCCTCAATGTACAACCTAATTCTATTCCATTTCAGAGGAAAGGCAGCAAGAGGGCACAGCAGCCCCCTTGGCTCTCCAGGAATGTAGCAGACCTCCTGAAGCTAAAAAGAAAGGCCTACAGAGGATGAGGGTTGGGATTCACCTCCAAGAAGGAATTTTCTGCACTGGTCAGATCCTGCAGGGAGCAAACCAGGAAAGCCAAGGCTGCAACTGAACTCTAACTAGCTTCAAGTATCAAGGACAATAAAAAGTCCTTTTTCAGGTATGTGGGGAGCCAGAGGAAAAGCAAGGGCAACATTGGATCCCAGCTAGACCAGATGGGACAACTGACAACTGAGGCCCAGGAAAAAGCCAACCTATTAAGTGGGTACTTTGCCTCGGTCTTTCATCAGTCCCATGGGATGCCCATGCCCACTACGGGACAGGGAGGTCCGGGTGAGGGAGATCCCCTGCCTTTCATCAATGCTGACCTCGTGAAGGAACACCTTGAGAGGCTGGATACCTTCAAGTCAGCTGGCCCTGACAATCTACACCCCAGGGTACTCAAGGAGCTGGCGAGCATGATAGCCCAGCCTCTGGCATGGATCTTTGAGAACTCCTGGCACTCTGGTGTAGTGCCTGAAGACTGGAAGAAGGCCAATGTGGTGCCTATCTTCAAGAAAGGGAGGAAAAGAGCTACTTAAAATGAAGGTCACAAGAACAAATAGGTCTGGGCCATAAATCAAGTGGAGACTGCAAGTGAAAAGAAAGTTTGTAAATATCAGAAATGTTATGATCCTAAACAGTCTTGTGGGACTGATTTTAAGATGGCTCTTTAGCAGTTTATGGAAGGAATTTTCTAACGTGGTATGTGCACTAGTAAGGAATTGGATTTGATGATCTAAGAAGTACCTTCCAATACTGTGTTCTTGTGGAGCCTCATGGGCAATATAAACCTTGATAACGCACAGTTTATGAATCCTGACATGGCTAGAAATGAACTACTGTTCTGCACCATCAAAATTTCAGTGGTGTTGGGCATGCCCAGCAGCAGGCCTTTTGGCATCTAGGGATTCCAGGCACATCTAAGATTAGGTGGTACTTGTATGGAGGGTTTGTGGATTTAATGAGGTACCTCCCAGCTTCTTGTGGATCTGTTCCTAAAGCAATGTAATGCATTGGTTTTGATGCTGCCTGTAAATTAAACAGGGGTCAGTACTTGGAGGTTACCCTAGGAGGTCTCGCATCAGAATACTTCTGAGAATAACAGTGTCACGCTTTCTCTAAGTACTGAACCAAGGCTGTCTAACATGGTGCTAGAGAAGGATGCCATCTCTCTCTCAACCCCCAAATAGCTTGTATCAAATAGCTGCTACTAGCAATATCACTATGTTTTATATGTACCCTTTAAAGAAAAATAATAAGATTTGATTTGCAATTCTGGTATCATCTGGAGTTCCCTGCTTAAAGCTTGAATGTTATCAAGAAAAGCTGCATTTTGGCACAGACTGTACTGATATGCAGTCCCCAAGTAGTAGATAAGACAACCTTGTCTATGCTGACTCTATCAGACCAGTTAGAAGACTATGATAGCACTGATTTACATATAGTTTCAGTTCCAGTAGATAATATCACTCAGGTGGTGCTGTTTCTTTCTTCTTTGAGAGAGCCTAGAGGATGGCTTTAGACAAATGCTTATTTTCCCTGAAGACTAGCTCCTGCAAGGGTCTGCAAGATTCTAGCTTGTCATCCTTCCTGCTCAACATGACTGAGCCTAATGAAGGAGACAGTTTAAGTAGCTGTGATCAAATGCAGTATTTTAAATGGATGTTTATTGTATGGTTTAAGCTAAAGGGGAGGGCAGCTCATTTAAAATGCTATAAATATAAAATAATAGCCTTTTTTATTATAAAGTTTGATTCACAAAAGTATGAGACGCTTGTCCTGAAGACAGCTACTCATGCTCCTCCTAGAGGAAAAAAGTTCTGTTTTGTTAATTCTTTGAAATAAGAAGGGGTTAAACTAAGAAGACAGGTTGAGGAGAAATCTGGCATCCTCAGAACGTCTCACTTTCTAGCCAAGGACATTCAGCATATAAAGGAAGCTTGAAAAGGGCAAAAAAGACTTAAGAAGAAAGATGGTCACCATCAATGCTATGAGTACAGTATAAAAACTTAGCTTGAAAGATAATGAGCCAAGAGAGCCATAGTCTTTCTGCAGAAAGTTGGTTTAGGTGCATCTTTTCTGTAACTAATTAAATCCAGAGAATGATTTAAATCCACTTTGTAAAAAATTTTGAAAGGCTGACTTTATTATAATATACTTCAGCACACATATCATGTAATTGCAGAAAAGCTGCCTCACATTGTTAGTCATTAACACTGTTTGACATCAGAAACTACTTTCTTTCTGTACTTTAGCTGTCTTAAATTTCATTTTAAATACCATATTTACTCAAATATAAGACAAGGGTCACCTCCCTCCCCCTCCAACCCCCATCAGCATGAGGAAAAAAGGCCCCTCATCTTACATTCACATACAAGGAAACCTCATTAAATACACTGTATATCATTAAACAGCTGCCAAAAGTAGTATGTAGTCAGTAATGGAAACCCAATGATTAAATGCACCCAATACTGAGCATGACTATAAAACACGTGGAAATATTTTTTATAATAAAATATACTTATATGCAAATATCAATCTCTTACCAAAACCCAATACCCTATCCCATATACAACAACTTCAACCAAACACTGTTTACATATACCTTAATACAAAACTAATACAGTGACTACCGTTTTATATATACAGACCTTTATCCCACACACATTAAACAAATAACAGTTTCCAGTCCTCCTTTCTCCCGACAACTACCATTTTCTTTTCTCCCATCTTCTAAACACATGGGAAATCTTTTTTTTTTTTTTTAAGGAAAATTTTTCATGTTCCAAGTCAAATCATCCAAATCAATTCCAAATCCATGAGTCAGTCAAGAACTAAATGTGGCCTTACTACCAGCAGACATCCTTCCCTACTACCATGGGCTTCAGATGCTTCCAAATCCTTTGGTGGGCATCCTACATGTAGGCCCAAGCCCGGAAGCTTGAGGTTTCGATGCTCCCAAGTTTGGCTTGCTCTTGGCCATATGGGCGCAGGAGCAAGCTAGGGAGAAGTCTCCCATTTCCATGAAGTCAGCATGTAACCGAGATCCTCCCGCTGAGAGCTGGCCATTGAGAAGCTAACTATGTAAGGACTCCTGCCCACAAGCAGACAAGGGTGCAATGCTCCACTCCATAGTGCCATCTTATTTCCTGTGCTACCTAAGTATGGAAAATATATATTTTTTTTTTATTAAGGAAAATGTTTCATGTTCTAAGCCAACTCAGTCAGATCAATTCCAAATCTGTGAGTCATTCAAGAACCAAATGTGGTGTACTACCGGCAAACATTCTCTACCCCCACCTGGGGCTTCAAATGTTTCCAAATCATTTGGCAAGCATCCTACACGCAGACCCAGGCCCAGAGACTTGGGGATCGGATACCCCCAAGTTTTGTTTGCTCTCAGCCTTATGAGCCACAGGAGCAAGCTAGGGAGGAGTATCCCATTTCCATAAAGTGGGTGTAAAGTCAAGATCTTCCCACTGGAAATGAAAATGGGAGGTTAACTATACATTACCTCCACAGGTACTACCTCATGTCGGAAAAGCAGCTATCCCCAGCAACTAGGAAAACCACCTTAGTGGTAACAGTATTTCCCCTGCCAGGTAAATATAAACAATTTTTTTTTTTAATGAAAATTTTTCATATTCCAAGCCAAATCAATTCCAAATCTGCAAGTCAGTCAAGAACCATAAGTGGCCCTACTACCGGCAAACATCCTCCACCCCCATGTGGGGTTTCAGATGTTTCCAAATCATTTGGCAGGCATCCTACATGAAAGCCCAGCTTCTTTGCTGGCACAGGTAGAGCCTGTGGAGGTAATGCATAGCAAACCTCCCACTTGCTGCTCAAGTGGGAAAATCTTGGCTTTATGCCCACTTCATGGAAATGAGAGACTTCTCCCTAGGTTGCTCCTGGGGCCATATGGCTGAGGGCAAGAAAAACTTGGGGGCATCCAAACCCTAAGGCTCCAGGCTTTGGTAAGTATAGAAAATATGTTAATGAGAACCTACCACAAGGGTAGATTAGTGTAGCTCATCTGAAGAAGATGCACAATCATGCCCATTGCACCAACTCTTTTTCAAGTCATAGTGAGCCAATACATTGAATATATTTCAACTTCTTCTTCACTCCCACAGCTGAGCTGGGCTTTTCTTTCTCATTTCCAATGATTCCTGTTTTTTCACCAGCCTTAAATATCTGGCAGACATCACCAAACAGGGCCTCAAACAGTTTGTACAGAATCCCTCTGTTGGCCCCTCTCTCAGCCAGTCGCATATGATTAGTGTGGCCTTGCCCTGCATGAGATGGAGCTGAACCAGGTTGCTCTGTGACTAATCTGCATATAAATTTTTGGAGGATCCCAGAACTTGTGAGAAGAACACCTGGTTCCAGTCATGAGTGGGAGGAGCTAATTACCACATAGATCCTTTGTGGGAGTTATCTGGAGTACACACAGACTGAGCAGTGCTGAGCCATAGGGTCACACAGCTTGAAACACTGTTGACTCTGTTGGGGCCCAGCCCAGTGAACAGTTTGATAAATCATGAGCCTTTTGGCTTTGGACTAATATCTTGCATAGTTTGTATACTTATCTGGCGAACGAAATACTATGGCTGTTAAGGCAGTTTTCCTAGTTGCAGGGGAAAATCATTTTTCTGGCAGGGCATAGTACCCTGGCCAAGGTAGTGCCTCCCACTTTCTCTTCCAGTGGGAAGATCTTGGATATATGTCAATCTTATTGAAATAGGAGACTTCTCCTTAGTTTGTTTGTATGGCTAAGGGCAAGCAAAACTTGGGGGCATCTGAACCCCAAGCTTCTGGGCTTTGGCCTGCATGTAGGATGCTTGCCAAAGGATTTGGAAACATCTGACACCCAAGGTAGGGGTGGAGGATGTTTGCTGGTAGTAGGGCCATATTTGGTTCTTGAATGACTCATGGATTTGGAATTGATTTGGCATGGAACATGAAAAATGTTCCTTAAAAAAAAAGTTTGTACTCTTAAGTAGATGCTAAAGTGCTGCTTTAAAGTGTGTTTATGGAGTACCTGTGCTAAAACTTGCAGCAATTTCAAAAAAGACAAACTGTATTAGTTCTGGATGAACTGTCTATGGATACTCATAGTACAGTCAGTGTTTTGAAATTTGCCCCTCACTTCCACATGCTGAGGGAGAGCAGGGTCTGATAATAAGGGTGGGGGGTGGGTAGCGTGGGAGATGGAGCTGCAGGGGAAGGAAATTGGAGGGGGGAAGTGGGCCATCTGCCCCCCCCCCCCCCAAAAAAAAATTTTTTTCCTTGCTGTAGCAGTGGGAGGGGGACAAATTCAAGGCAACCCTCCAATAATTAGATTCTTTATGTGGAAATATATATATAAATATATTTAAAAATGTTTCATATACAGTTTCTAATTATTGGGAGTCGTCTTGTATTCAAATAAGTCTGATACCTTTTTTTTTACCGTGATGGGGCTTTAGATCATTCCTAATAAAGATTTTTGCTATTAGCTGGTCAGATACTATTTTTTAGAACTTATTTGGTATAACTTGTACCAATGGACTTATGGACTTATACTTTTAGGGGGTAGGCAGGCATCAGTTTTCAAAATGTTACTTGTGGAAGCTGCTTCTTGCAAGATCCTTCAAACTTTTTCTGTCCAGTTAAATATTAGCTGTGCGTGTTTTTTTTCTTGCTGCCCTATTCATGTTTGTCCCCCACAGAGAACACAGCAGAATGCCTGCCTCCAGTGCCATTGGAGAATTATTTTCGCCCTCTGAAAGCCTGGTTGCTTTACGGTTTTAAGGAGTGACAGAGTCTTTGAAAGGCCTCTCTATACTGGAATAACGTTTTCTTTTTAAACAGGCCACGCCTCCAGTGAACATTCCAGGGTCAACGAAGTTCACTCCCAATGGCAGTAGCTTTAGCATCTCTTGGCAGTCACCTCCAGTTACCTTCACTGGCATTCCGGTAAGTGGACAACCAACAAAACAGTTACCTAAGTTTAAAAATTTTCCACTGCTTAACAGTAAGTCTGCTCTGTTTGAAATAAAATACAACAGAGCAGAAGGAGAAACAAAACAGATTAAAGGCCCAGAGTCTCCTTTCACACTTTTCCAAGTCCAGTCACTGCTGTACAGTTACTCTTAATTTACAGCAGTGGAAATGAGAGGAGAACTGAGTTCTGTGGGATATTTGTAAAACTATTGGTTTACAAAAAAATGATCCAGGTAACCACAAAGCCTGAAAAATTGCTGAATATGCTACTGTGTGTCTACTGTTTATATTTCTGACGTCTTGTTTATGAAACAAGAGGAAACCAGGAATGCGATCATTTGCTGGAAGGCTAGTTAGAAGTGTGTGCTTCAAAGAATCTGGCAGAATTTGCAGTGCCTACAAGGACATAAATTACATTTAAATAACTATTTACCTAACAATACCAAGCCAGGCATTGTTAGGACCCAATTCTGACTGCAGATGCATGCATGTGACACCTGTTGATTTCACAAAAGAAAATGCTGCCTTTATACAAGAAACATGCACTTAATATGCACTGGATTAAGAGTTCTAATTTAGTAACAACACTTAGATTTCTAGCCCAGCCTTGACAAGGCTTATGATATAAAGTTCATGACTGAATAAGGAGAGGTATATGCAGAACTACGTAATCAAGCCATTTACTTAAAGGCTACTTGGGCCATCTTAATCTTCCTTCCCCCTACCCCGTTCCCCCCGGAAAAAAAAGAATTAAAAAGTCAACAAATGACACCAACTAGTAAGGCCAGGGACACGCAAACCGGTATAAGTGGTCAGAAACCAGTTCAAATCTGTAACACAACAGAAGTTCAGTGCACATAAACTGCTTTCAAAATGGCCAAAACTGGTTTAAGATAAACCTGGATGGATGTAACATGACACTTAACTGATTTAGGTTAAACTGGTTTATTGAACTTCTGTCCCAGATCCCCTCCAGATTCAAATTAACTCACAGTCCCTCAGTATCCCAGGATGCTTTGCACCTCCCTCACAAACACCCTGCACTCCCCTTGCAGGGTAGGTAGGCCAGCCTTGGCCCAAGCTGTCTGCTCCAGCCCAGCAGGGAGGCCTGCTCTAGCACCCTCCAGCTTGTGGCCTAGGCCACTGCAAGTATGTGGCTGCATTTCCAGAATCAAAAGTGAATGTCTGTTTGCTTGCTTATCTGTTCAATATGTGCAGCTTAGATTAACCTTCAAAGATTGAATGGATTCAGCCTCAGGCATTTTGACTGTACTTTTCTAAGGATTTAAATACTGGGGAAGTAGTTTGAGAAGACCATTAGACAGAGTTCAGAAGAATTATTCTTTTGGAATTAGGTTTGTGGTTACTTAATTTGGTGTGTGCCCAAACATATACTGAAATCATTATTTTTCTTCTTAGTTATAGAAAATATATTGTATAATAAGTGAAAAAATAAATTTGAACAGAGTATATTTTAATTTTAAAAGAACATTGTTTAGCATGTAAATTATTGCTGCCTGACCATAAACCTACTTGATATCAAAGCATTTCATTTTGAATTACACATTCATAATTTTCAGTTTATCATATAATGCACATTAGTCATCCAGAGAGCCATATAGTTTTTTTCCTGACAATGTGTATTAGATGCATCATGTTACTACTTCCCTTCTCCTCTCTTTACCAAGTGAATCTCCAAAAGCTTCTTACTGTCAACCTTTGGCAAATCTTGGAGATTTTTTGCAGAAGCTGTGGTCCCCTGCAGGGCTGATAAAAATGAAAGTGGCTGAATCAATTACATTGCACTCTGCCAATGAATATTTATTAAATTCCATCAAGTAACAACTAACAGTGAAAGATATCATGCTGGCAGCAATTTGAACAAGAGCACCTTGACAGAGCATGCTATGCATAAAGTACTTCTGGAATTCGATTTCACAACAATAGAGTTGATATAGAGTAATTATGAAACCAACTCTTTTTGTGGAGTTGCAGAAATTGGCATCGCAGGTATTGGGAATCCAGGAATGCAATTAGCAACATTGTAAATCAGACACATAAGAGAAAGGGATTAGGTGAGTGTTTAGTTTAATTCAAGCACCAGCATTGATCTCCCTGCTATTGTGAGCGGTTCCCAACATGATTTTAGAAACAAGAAATCATTCTGTAGAAACTGTAAGATGCCAGTGATTTACCGTGTAATTTAAAACAACCCCAATAACAAAACGTAGATCAGCAATGTTGATAACAGCATTATAGGCTACTTCAAGAGCCACATGTATTATTATTTTATCTGTGTCTGCTAACAGCATTTCTAAGACCATTCAGCAAAAACCCACAAAACTGACACACAGTTCACTGCTTTATAATTTCTTTACAGGCATAATATATAGTAAAATCTTGTCTAGAATAGGAAGTTATTGTGCAGCAAGCTAGGCTTGAACTTGGAAAACTCCACCTGCTGTGTAGTAAGTCCTCTTGTGGGCACTCTTAGGACACACAGGGTGCATCTACATGAGACGCCAAATATGCAGTAGACTAATTCTACTGCGCATTAGTGCGTCATAGCAAAAGTCGTGTTAAAGTGCTAGTGTGCAGTAGAATTGGTCTACTGAACATTTGCATCACTAAAAATGCATGCGCTGGTGCTACTGTGCAGTGGAACTGGTTACTGCACATTGAGTTTACTACCTGTAACAACAGGTACTAACTTAATGCACTGTAACTATGGCACATTAATACACGTGTAGATGTGCCCACATGGTGGAAGGCAGCTTACTCCACTAAGCTTCACCCGGGCAGTTAGTGTGCACGTCTACACATGCATTAACGTGCCGTTGTTACGGCACATTAAGTTCAGTACCTGCAATAACAGGTACTAACTCAATGCACAGTAACCACAGTAGTGCTGGTGCACAGTCTTAGAGATGCTAATGCATAGTAGATAATTTCTACTGTGCATTAGCACAGCTTTAGCCATGACGCTAATGCACAGTAGAATTAGTCTACTATGCGTTTAGCATCTCATGTAAATGCACCCAGTGTGAAGTAGTAGTGTGCTGTAAAGTCACCCTTACAATATAATAATTCCCCGCTGTAGACATACTCCATAGGTGAAATGGACACAAATATTCTAGAGACACTTGGTAGCCTTTTTTCCTTCCTCTTTTCATACACAAGAGCATGTCCATATAGCAAACTTACTGCATGGAAAACTAGATTGTGAATATACTGCACACTGGCCACATCTACACAAGACACTGACTGCACAGTTGTTACTGCTTGTTACGACTGCGCAGTAGTATCATGTCATGGTTCATGCCACACCACGCTTCTGCGCAGTTGTAACCAGCTACTGTACAGTCACCATCGTAGGCGATGCATAGGGAGGGTACAGGGGGGCACGTGTCCCCCCTGACAGGGCCGATGCCAGTGGTGGTGCCTGTGGGTGCTTGCCAGCTCTGCTCCTGCCGCCAACGCCGGCGCCTGTGGGAGCTTGCCAGCTCCAGCCCCTGTGGGTGCTCCCCCAGACTCGGGAGGCACCAGTTGCCCATGGTCAGCATCTCATGGAAACTTGGCCACTGGGTACATCTACATGTCCAATTAAGGTGAAGAAACAAACTCCAGTGCAATTCATGCCGGGGTTTATTTCTCCTGGGTGCAGCATCTCCACTTGCACTCAGGACCGAAACACATTGAGCCTGGGCTGACAGGGGGCCCCTGGGGATCAGCCCTGGGCGCCAAGTGCTGGTGTCACGCAGCAGAGGGGCTGGCTGGGGCACGAGCGTGTTCCAGTGTGGGACTAGCTAGGAGGCAGCCTCCACACTGTAGCACCCTTGTGCCTCAGCTAGTCCCTGTCACTGCACATGCGTTGCAGTGGCATAAATTACTCTGTCATGGGTACAGTACAATCCTAAGGCAGAGTTAATTAATTTACTGCACCCTAATATGGGCACATGTGTAGATGGTGACACTTTACTGCAGAGCTAATTAGTCAACTCTACAGCGCACTTATAGATGCACCCACTAGCTACTTCACACTAACTACTATGAGGTACTGCTGGGCAAGACACTTCTCCATTTGAGAGAGCAATAGAAGTATGCATTAAAATTTTCCACTAAGGGAATTAAAGTAGACAGTGCACTATAAATTTACCCCCTATTTTACTGTGCACTCATTTCCATGTTTAGAAAAGCCTTCAGAGAGACTATACACCCTGCTATAGTAAAAGCAGGTACTCAAGACTATATAGCTACTTATATCGCCCATCTTTTTTTCCCTTGTATTACTGTTGGTAAGCCAACCGACTTAGCACTTCCCACAGAAAGGCTTTGCACACATTTCTTTAGCCAGATCCTAACCAGCAGTGGATGGTAGCAATTAGAGTTTAAAAATCTAATTCCCCAAACTCTTCTCTTCAACTCATCTAATAGAGCGCTGATCAATACAGGCACTTAAAGGTCCCAAATGCTCTAGCTTTGAAGGTTATTCGGTGTGTAGTGGCAGCACAGTGAAGGATGACTGCTGGGTCTGATTCTTTGCATGGAGAATAATTAAGTCTCAAAAGAGTAAAGAATAGAAAAAGGATACAGGACAGGCCTGTGTGAGGAGACAGTGCTATTTTACAAATAATAGCAATGGCAAGGATGACAGTGGGGTGTCTTGCGTAGTAGTAGAAGGGCTAACATGAAGATCACATAGCTACACTACTGTTAATGCAGGATTGAGTTCTCCTTCCACTCAAGTGTGTATCTCTGGCATGCAGGTTTAGTCCCTGTATGCTTTAAAGATAATTTATGGCAATCATTACTGTGCTCAGAATGGCAAAACTTGGAGATCCTTGTGCATCTTACTTCATGTTTAATCACTCTTTATTCTCTTGGGCCAGACAAGTTTGACACCCCTGTTCTAGAGGGTAAGTTGAGCTTGAGCAAAGCATAAGTGATTGGGATCAATGTAGAGGTAATCATTT